TCTTTGTAAGGTGCTAGGACTGATTTTCTATTTCTGACATCTTGTCCACATCTTGAAACATTGAGACAATCAAAAAATCTGTCTATCATGAAAACAAATTTCTCAGTAGACTTTGTATCATGTCGTCCTCTTGCTTTGAATGCATTAACCACACTGGAACTTAGAACCTATTTAGTACAGGATAAGTATTACACATGTATCATATATTTTTTTATTTTGATTTACAATATTTAACACACGAGTGGCTATATTCCTAACACACCACAAGAAAATACAGACTTCTCAGCAAGGTGAATGGCCTTCACATTTTGTAACAAAAATTTTCTGCAGCAACAGTTTTGGATGTGGGATTTACTTAATTTTCATTGTGCAAATGTACTTACTTGTGCTGCCAATTTCACTTTCATTCTTAATGAAGGGGATAAATGTAAATGTTCATATGTAATCTTGGAAAGTTTTCTCAATGATGCCACTCCACTCACATTACCAACACCTATGTCATCTTCCACCAGATCAACTAGCTGCTTCCAGGAAATGCTTTGTTTATTGTACTGCATGGAAGAACAAATTATATACTGTAAAATTACTAATTTTTACTGGATTTAAATTTCAATGATTTGGCATTTTTAGACATATTCAGTGGGTTTTAAATTCACTGTTTTATCATTTAGATAATCTGTTCTATGCTCAATTTTACATATTCACTGGGTTTAATTGAACGCATTTTCCAGTCAGCGAAATAAGCAAAATTAAAACCTAGTGAATAATTAACCCTTGTACAGTATCATAAAAGAATTGCTAAGGTTAATAGCACACAAAAATAAAATACCAGTCACTTATCCCTTAAATAATAATTTTAAATTAATGTGAAAAAAAACTCTGATTTTACTCACATGTAAATTCCTGGTTTTGTTATGCCAGCCTGAATTTTCCCAATTATTACGTGTGGTTTTAACCAGGTGTGGAACGTCACATATAAAATATATATTTCTATCTTGGCTATATCTGTTCACGGTAGAGTGGACTACAGTGGTTTCTTCGTTATTGGTTTTATGGATTCTATAAAACTTTCTGTTCGGGGTGGCACCATCTGACACGAAAGCACGCACTTTAAATCCAGCGTATTCCAGGAAAGCAACACCTTTCCACAACACAGCATATAATTTGTTGCTTGTGAACCCAACGCATGGGAACCATCCAAACACTTCTTTTAAAGATGTGCAAATACCTCGCATCATCAATACCATAATGTGAGTTGCTAGTGGTGTTGAAAGTGCCTTGTTAACTGGACTGTCCTCCTTTATTTGCTGCAGGAGATCTTCAATTTCATTGTTGATGTTGCCACAGTCTGTGTAACCAATTAAATTGCCAGTGTTCTTTGAATATACTAAACCAGACTTGATTTTAATTTCATCAAATATTATCGAAA